AACTTTTATTTGCACCCATCATATAAAGCCTCACTTGTCTTCTGCTAGCATTAGGGTCTTTTAGCCCTCGTGATAAAATTGGAATGATTAAAGGTAGAACTCTTTCCCCAAGCTTTCTAACAAGCTCACCAAGTGATCGTCCAGCAACCTGAAAATACAAGAGCAACTGAATTTATTATTTGGGACTGTACAAAACCCTATCATAGCTTAGAAAACACTACAAGAAGAATAGCAGACCTGTCTCCTTTCAGAGGATGATGATGCAAGAGAAGTAATTAAAGTATTCATCAAAACTGGCATTATTTCCTTCAGAGTCTTGGGAGTATTTGCAACTATGGTCTTCCACACATGTAATGCAGCCTGCACTAGAGAGAGAGAGAGAGAGAAAGAGAGAGAGAGAGAGAGAGGGGAACACACTTACAGTCTACTTGTCCAAAAACCAAAAGGCAGCAAAATATTAACAAACAAAGCAATCCATTATATTGACAGCAGCATTACCTGGCGCACTGTTAAGCTCACATCAGTTCGAAGCATGTATAATGCAGCAAGAACGTCATTACGCTTTTCTCTTCTGAGAACCTCAATAATAGCACGCCCTTGTGCCTCAGTACTTGCTCCTTCATCATCACTACCACCCTCAAGAAGTGCTTTTCCAGAGGTTCCAGCAACCTAGAAGAAACAGACCATGTCGAGGAAAAAACAAGAAGAAATTCCACAAAGCTAACTTTGAAAAGGACGAGCAGCATATACCTTGAACAAGAGATCACCCAACAATTCTACAGAACTTTGTCGGATACGCCAGCTATCACTGAAAATACCATCCTCTACAGCTGGAAGGAGCAGGGGCAAAGATCTGACATGAACACAAAAAAGTGAAAACATAGCTATCTGGTTCCTCAAATTGTCAAACATGAGGGACCCACTTCTATTTTGAATAATTCAATAACTTTCAAATAAAGTTTTTAAAGCGTGTGCATAAGCATTTCCAATTTTTACATTTACTACAGAAATTAAATATTTTAAAATAGTATAATTTTAAAATTAAATAAAGGTATAAATACTTTTCTCCTCAAGGCATCAAACATTTCACTGCATAGAATGAGCTTGCTCACATCGAAAGTGAAATCAACATTCTTAGCTTCAGTTATCAAGCTTCTCAATTAAGCCTTCACTTTTTTTTATTTTATTTGGTTGATCATTTACTCTATATTTCCCACAGAATATATCTAAAAAGATGTTCTTCTGATTATGTTTAAACCATGAATTAGACAAAGCTTAACAACAACCAAGACAAACTCTCTATATGCATACTCAGATACTCTTCATATGCTTATCGCAAAAGGGATACAGTGCATAATTGAGGAGCATGCCTCAGACTGGTAAAGCATCAACAATCTTCAACCTCTCTCTCTCTCTCTCTCTCAGTTTTCAATGTTCATTTCTCTACAATGCTTTTGTAGATGTACTTACAATATGTACATATATACAAGAAACGAGAACTTGGCTTTGACATACAAGACAAGCTAAAAAACACTAGACCAACCCTGTGAAACAAACCAAACCATAATTTATGACTGCAATTAACTTCTTCATGCCAAAAAAATGATAGCTGTCACAGTATAGCCAGTCTTCATTTTTTTTGATCGGCAAAACGAAAGACTTTATTGATGCTAAAACGATACAAAATGAAGGATACATCAATAAAGAGAGGCTTGGAGCTAATCAAAGCTCCAACCTCCTAGTTGGTAAGAAACCAACAGAGAAAACAAAAGATTGTGATAGAGCAGAACAAAAGAACAGAAAAGCAGAACAAAAAAAGACCAGAACAGAACAACAAAATACACCAGATCAGCAACCCCAACAGTGCAGTTGTATAAGAGCAGCACAACAACAAACCCCATTTGCAGCAAACCCCATTAGCAGTAACACATTAGCAACAACAAGAGAGGCTTCAACAGAGCAGAGAGACTCCATACAAACCCCATCAGTATAGCAGCATTAGCAATAGATTGCAACAAACCCCATCACAAGTTAAACCCCAACAAATCATGATGCACTAGACCAAAACAACACTACTAAACCAGAGAGGCAACACAACAACAAACCAAGAGAGGCTCAAACCAAACCCCATCAGTGCAACAACATTAGCAAAAGAGTGTAGCAGTTCATAGGTTATACCCCATCAGTGCATGATGCAGAATTTCACACTTTGCAAATTTAACACTAAATCATTAACTAAATAACAAAAAGAAGGACTATACGCTCTGAACCACAATGCAATCCGTGTCTTAATAAGTTCACACAAAAATCAGCAACAATTATTAAATCTCAATCAAAACCACCATTCCTTAATCAAGAGCTGTGTGGCTGCATGAGTCACTGAAGCAGGAACAAGTACAAATGAGCATATGAAGTGTTATATGCTACAAGATTGGAACTCAAGAAATGTCTTTAATGCCACACGTTAGATGATGACGAATAATTGTAATCAATAAAAACAGTAAATGTCGTGAGACCCAAATATTAAAATGAGTCAAGGATTAAATGCTATAATAGATAAATATACCTTCATTTGCATCTCAAACCATTTGATAACTGTCAAATCCTGAAAAAAGAGTAAGCTGCAATCACAAACTACCAACCCATTAAGATGCTATTACTTTAGAACAAACCAAAGCCCTCCACTCTCTTAAATGAGGAAGAAATTGTGTTGTGTGTTTGGGGGGGTAATCAATTAGCATTTTATGAAAACACTTGACAAAAGTTAAGATTTCAGATTTTCAAGTTTTATCTTTGACCACATAGTTCCATGGATACACCTGGAACCTCTACAACACGTACCTATAATAATCACAGTATTTGAAGAAAAAATCAAATCCTATGTAAAAGTATGTTCCATAAGTTACAGCATTTATGTGTTGTGAAATGAGCGTATATTTTAACACCATTTTCTGTCAGAACTCAGAAGTACAAAAGAAAAGATTTCATAGAAACTTGAACCTATTCTCCATATTTTTCTCCGAACGTTGCAATAGCCCCAGCTTTTTTAGCATCAGTTAGAGGCATCACTTTAGTTTGCAGAAGTGTAGAGTCCTCAATCTAGCTATTGATCAGTCCTTCAATCTCCATGAGCTCATTATCCAAAAGTGGCCGGTGGAAGTTGAAATCAAATCTAAGACAATCAAAAGCCACCAATGAACCAGCTTGTGATGTTTCCTGGCCTATTACTTTTTTAAGTGCAGCTTGTAGCAAATGAATAGCAGTGTGATGAACCTGCCAAAGAGCAAACAAGGTTCACAAAAAAGTCTAATAGAGTTTCGAGATAGAAAAATAAACTAACAAACACTACTGCAGAAGTTCGCATCATTAAATATGCAGAAAAGTGCAGACATGTTAATTATACTGGAAATATGGTAAACTGTATTATTTAATCCAGTACCTTAGCTCGTTGCCTCAGCTTTGCATCTACCACAGCTTCCACTTCACCGCCAACCACTATACTTCCCTCCTTGATAGTACCCTTATGAACAAATATATTACCGACAGATTTTTTGACGTCTTTTATCTCTATAACAGCAGTCTATTGGTTTCCAGCTTCTGAAATAAATAAAAAACCATTGTCTCCAATTTGACCACCTGATTCAGCATAAAATGGTGTCCTATTGAGAAAAACTTCCACTTCGCTGCCTTCGGAAACCTGTAGTACCGGTTTCCCATTCACCAAGAGAGCCTCAACTACTGCTCTGGTGGAAAGTGTGTCATAACCTAGAAATTCTGTGTCACGAATATTTTCAGCTAGAACTAAAAAAACCATTTATATAGCAAATAATAAAAACTAATCTGAACACATCATAACAATTAGTAATGTAACCAAATTAATATCAAATGCATTTCAATATCCCAAATTTTATTCAAATATCCAGCAATACTAAACATAAGAATCCTAAAATGCGTCTAACTATATCCAACAATCCCAAACATAATAATTCCAAAAAGTATATAAACATTCAACAAAATAGCCTATAAAACGAAACAAAGAAAAATTAAATGAATGCCAACATGCAAAACGATATATATCACTACTGAACCATGAACATCCATCACCAACCCGTGAATAAAAGAATAAAAACATGAGTATTTTATTAATGCATTAACTTCAACAATAATATACAAATATAGTTAAAATTAATCAAAAAAATGTTGTGAAGCTATTGTTTTATCAAGCTATTGTGTACAAAGGTTGTAATGCTAGGCTTGCAATACAAAGTTTATATAATTTTATATTGTTGACACATGTTAGGATTGGTTAAATAAAGTAAATCAATTTAATGAAGTGTCAAATTTACCTCTATTTCAACCGAGAGAAGTTTCATCCTCCCTTACACCTGATGCATCCTCCCCGACATTGTTGCTTGGAACTAACCCCAGAATGTTTGCTAGATCTATCCCATTTTTTTTGCTGCCAACATTTGAATTATAGTTTGCATTGTACTCATGTTTTGAGCCTGGTCAAGTAACTGCTTTCCTTGGTCAGCTAATTGTTATTGCTGGTCAACTAACTGCTGTTGAAGAACAATCACCTCAGAGTTAGGAGCCTCAAAATGTGTAGAAGATGAAGTACTGTCCTTGCGGATCCCGTATCCCTTCAAGTACACCGATCTCTTCCCAAGTACTTCCCTGGAAATCTGCTTCTCAGACAATGGATGTGTGACACTAGGTTGAGATTGCTTAGCGATCTTTGAAACCATCGTGGCCTATGAATGAAACATAAATAAGCTTAAAACATAATATCAAAATGCAAACATTTATTATTGAAATTGAAATAGTTATGGTTACATGATGTTCTTCAGCTGTGTTATTTATCCACACTCCCCCATGTCGGTGACGTTTGTGGGTGTCCTCCAATAGTTTCGTAATAGTCGGTTTGCTTCCTTGTACCTTTCATTTCACTAGATTTTCTAGTCAATCAATAATTCTGTATTTATAATTTAGTATGTTCAAATTTGTAAATCTACACTTACAAGGATAGATGCTCGCGATGCAAATGATCTCGAGCAGCTCGTATGATTATACTTCACGCAACCTCTTGCTTTCATCGCATTCTCTGACTTTTCCTACAAATAAAAACAAAAATAGGTAACATTAATTAATAAACAAGAGGATGTTACTTTAGTAAATATTTTTATAAATACCTTCTAATCATCAGTTTCCCACAGATTGTCAATCATCCATTCCCAATCATCCTTCATACAAGGATATAGTGTTTGACTTTTGAGGTCAGATACTTTGTCTTCTTTAATGGATTTGTAGTGTGTGTGTAATCTACTTTTCCATTCATTGTACAAAGTTTGGCACTTATGATCAATAATGCATCTCACATCCACATCATTATTGTAGTCCCCAAAGTCAAAAGTTTGCTGCAATTGGAAACAATAAATTCAATATATTTTATATATCATTGCGATTAACATAAATAACATGTTAAATATATAACACATAAATTTCAAATTACCCCAACTCTTGTAACAATGGACTCTCTTAACCCAAACGCAATTTCTAGCCATCCATCATTTCGGAGTGGGGCATGAACTCGAATTTGTTGACCAAGAGCAGCTGCTAGCGATGTGGCGTAATCCCCTTCTATTGCTTTGGTCAAATAGTTAAGTGTAACGGGTATTCGATCACCACGTTCCTTTCTATGTAATCCCCTTCTACTGCTTTGGTCAAACGGTTAAGTGTAACGGGTATTCGATCACCACGTTCCTTTCTAATCTTCTCCATATTCTTTCCTCAGGTCGGTCCTTGTACACGTTTCTTGCCCAAAACTGGAATTGATGCTATTATGACCAAAATTTTATTCAATTTAGTCGACATAAAACATAAATGCACTAAATAAATATTGAGATAATAAATTATCATTTTATTTAAGGGGTCATTTATTTCTCACCTCCACTGTTAGTCACAGTACATGGACTTGAAAGGTGGTCAGGTTGAGTGGCGAAGGTAGGGAGCTGATTGGGCCTAGTATATAAGGCGGAAAGATGGATAGGTTGGGTCGAGACCTCAAGTGTGCTCTCTGAATGATTAACTTGTGCAACTACAGGTCGTCTCGGAGGAGTAAGTGCATCTTCATCAAGAGTACTTTTCTTTTCCCTTGGTGTTTGTGAAGCTATTAGGCGAGCTGCACACCTATTTGTTTTCTTACCGGGACCCATATGAATATCCTAACATAATATAAAAATGAATTGTTAGTACATTTTCAATAATTTAAGGTTGCTTAATAAAAAATAAATTGAAATAACTAGACATACCACAAGTAATATAACAAATGAAAAAAATAGAGAAATTAATTTTCATACACATATGTATTACCTTAATCACTTGAGAATCAAAAGGCTCGCCATTATCACTTGAAGAACTCAGTCCTTTATCATCATCAAGTGGTTCATAGTCCTCGTCATTATCAGTTTCACCCACCTTTCTCTTTCCCACCCTACAACTTTCACTTTTGTCCTTCTCAATAGAACCAAACATTGAATTCTTGATGGACTTTATCCTTAGAGCATCAAATCTGATTTTATTTTTTTGGATTGTGTTTTTCCTATCCTTCTCATATTTCATCATCTTCTGGACCAAGCTGCCGGGCTTCATAAATGATTTATCGTTTTTGGACATCTTTGTAATTGTAGATATGGCATATAATTAAATGAAATGAAATCAGAAACAATGCTATGAAATTTGGAAAACAATGCCATGCAATGTAAACCAAGCAATTTATTATTAAATTATAACACTTGTCCATATAATAAAAAATCAAACACTACATATCATAATCTATATCAAGATCTATATCAGGATATGCATCAACATCAGGTTGTCTATGCAGTTCATCATCTTCATCATCATTATACTCTATGATTGTGTCATCCTCATCATCATTGTGAACTAAATTCTCTGCCATTAGTCGATCATTGAACATGATCTTAGGATCCATATTATCCCTATTGTATTGAACATCATTGTCTTGGATCACTACCCCAACAACATCAGTGGTTTCATCTTGTTGAAAGCATCATTAGAGACACCATCCCGCTCTGGTATATCCCATACTCCCCGATGCTTAACACGTTCAACGACTCTCCAATTTTTGCCTTTGTTGGTATCATTGACGTAGAATACTTGTCTTACCTGACTAGGTAGAACAAGTTGGTCATCTTTATACAAAGTCTTGTAACATCAATACTTGTGACATGTTCATCGGAGTAGATTCTATTCTTGTGACCGGTGTCATACCATTCACATTGGAACAAAACCACTGTACCCCCATGCAAGTATTTCAATTCCCATATTTTGCACAAGGAGCCGTAAAAATTAATTTGGTTCCCATTATGGTCCCCTTCTACAACCAACCCACTATTTTGGCAGGTACGATGATTTTCACGGTTTCTAGTATGGAATCGAATTCCATTGTAGATGCACCCAGAATAAAAGTCAATTACCGATCTAGGACCATCTGCTAATGACCACAATTCGTCAGTTGCTTTAGGTGACGCTTTCGTTCACAAATCATTCATCTACATAAAACACCATATAACAAGTGTACTAAGTTAATATGAATTGAAAGTTATAACAATTGTATTCAGTTATTTTCTTTAGTATATCTTACACGATTTTTGAACCATTTTGGAAATTCTTCTCGTTGTACCCGAGTTATGTCACGTCCTTGTAGATTATGTAAAATATTCTTTTGCTCCCTACCCATGGAAATGTGATACACGTAATTAACTTAGAGAGTTCGAAACAAAATGGAACGATTATGCATAAACGTAATTAAATTTAAATACATACTCAATATATGGCTCCACCTCAGAGCTATTGTACAACACAAACCAGTGAGCCATTTCTCGTTCATTTTGTGAAGGGTCAAGAGCCCTTGTGATAGGTGAGAACAGACGAGCATTTTGGGTGAAGACCTCCATCCCGGGACCACGTTCACCACCATCATCATTTCGTTCAGGTTTATCAATCCCTTTTAAGTACATTGAACAAAAAGTAAGACACTCTTTGACAATGTAAGCCTCAGGGATAGAACCTTCTGGACGTGCTCTATTACTGACATACCCTTTCAAAGTCTAGAGAAACCTTCAACAAAAATTCACAATGAACATTATGCTTCTTGATGCAAGAAAATTACTTCTTTAACAATAGTCTTTTATGGGTGGATTTTTGCACAATATTTTAGTTATAACAAATTAATAAATAACCATATGTTCATAATGATTACCTTTCGATCGGGTACATCCATCGATATTGCACCGGTCCAGCAAACATGGCCTCACGGGGCAAGTGAACAGCCAAATGGACCATCACATCAAAGAAAGCTGGAGGAAATTTTTTCTCCAACTTGCAAAGTATGAGCACAATTCGTTCCTCCATTTTTTCCAAATCAGTCTGCCTTAATGTTTTTGAGCACAGTTCTTGGAAGAAGTTGCCCAACTCAAATAGTGTTGTACAGATCTCCTTGTTCACAAAACCATGCATGCCAATTGGTAAAAGTCGCTGAAATAGGACATGACAATCATGGCTTTTCATGCCCGATAATCTTCCATTTTTAGAAGTCACACATCTTGAGATGTTTGCTGCATAGCCATCTGGATAACTAATAGACTTCAAGAATTCACAAAAACCATCTATTTGTCGAGAATCCAATGTGTAGGCTGACCGAGGCTTTACAACGGATCCGTTATCTTTCCTCTGTAGATGCAATTCTTGCCTTATGCCCATTTCTTGCAAATCATCACGTGCTTTGTACGTGTCCTTTCTTTTCCCATCTATGGCCAATATTGTACCATAAAAGTTTTCACCAATATTCTTCTCAATGTGCATGACATCAAGATTGTGTCGAAGGTTTAATTTCTTCCAATACGGTAGCTCCCACATTATGCTTTTCTTTGTCCAATTCAATTTTTCAGACTCTCTTGGTCTTTTCTTGTTGGTAGGATCCTTTCCAAACTTGACTTCCCGCAATTGATCCAATTGAGCCATTATTTTTTTCCACCGGTAAATCCAAGGATTTCTTTCTAAGCTCAGTTAAACCATTAAACTTCTTGTCTTTCCTCCAAAGGTGGTTATCAGGCAAGTAAGCTCGTTGACCCACCCACCCAATCTTACTGATCAACCCGCGTGACAACGGATTATCATTACAAGGAGGGCAAGACAAATAACCTGTAGTTCTCCATCTGGATAAGTCACCATATGTAGGGAAGTCATTTATGGTCCACATTACAGCTGCATGCATCCGGAAGGTCTGTTCAATGGAGGCATTGTAAGTCATCATGCCATTCTCCCACAACTCCTTCAACTCATCAATCAACGGCCTTAGGTAGACATCAATATCAGTCCCTGGTTGATTATGTCCAGGAATAAGTAAGGACATCATGAAAAATGGGGCCTTCATACATCTCCAAGGTGGGAGGTTATAGGGCATGAGTATGACAGGCCACATGCTATAGGAAGTGCTCATGTTCCCAAAAGAATTGAACCCATCGGTGGCTAGGCCCAACCTAACATTGCGAATCTCCTGGGCAAACTCTGGATAATGCAAATCAAATTCCTTCCACTCTTTACAATCAGCCGGATGCCTCCTTACACCATCATCCACACGGTTATCACTATGCCATCTCATGTCTTTTGCGGTCTTCCTAGACATGTGCAATCTTCTCAACCTAGGTGTCAATGGGAAGTAACGCAATATCTTGTGAGGGATCTTCTTACCCTTGCTATCATTTACTCTGTACCTAGATGCTTGACATGTGGGACATTTTCCCAAGTGAGCATTCTCCTTCCAGAATAGTACACAATCATGTTTACATGCATCGATGGGCTCGTACCCCAAGCCCAAGTCACGTAGCAACTTCTGGCACACGTAAATTGACCCTGGCACCACGTGGCCTTCTGGTAGGAATCGCCTTTGTATCTCCAAAACCTTGTCAAAAGACTTATTGCTCCACCTATTTTCTACCTTCACATGTAGCATCTGAATAACGAATGATAACAAAGTATCCGAGTTTTTGCAACCTGGGTACAAGCAACATTGGGAAGCATCTAACAATTTATCAAAGTGTCGTACATCCTCTCTTTCTAGAGTATCACCCTCCATAAAATTCCCCCGTTGATAGTCCTCTATCAGTTCATCATATTCATTTTTATCCTCGTTATTCTCCCCATTGCTTTCATCAAGGTTATTGTGTTCTGGAAGTTCACCATGTTCTAACCAAGTGGTGTATGATACTATCATCCCACTTATGAGCAAATGAGCCTTCACAATATCATACTTCGGCTTATAAAAGTTACAACAATTGATGCATGGGCACTTAATCTCCCTAGCCTCACCCAAATGAACCTTTGCAAATTCAAAAAATGAGTTCAACCCATCTACATATGGCTGACTGAATCTATCAGAAATTAACATCCAACTCCTGTCCATATCTGATCATAAGATAGTAGTTAATACCAATAGGACACAACCTTTTATTTATTATTATTTATTTGTTTATTTATTTATTTTTTTAAACATGAAGACAAAGTAGTTAATATAAGTGTAGAGTGACACATCATCGTCAATAAAGGTGCATCTACCCATAGGCTTTTTTAATTTTGTATCAAGGTTTCGACCAACAAATTCTTTAAAATTCTATTATATCTGCATATATTATGTATTAAGTTAAGTGTTTTTTACATTTATCAACAGAAAAAAAAAATATATTTATATATATATTGTTAATGTCTGTTAAATGGTAAAAGGCAGTTGCCATGGAAATATACTATTCCAATTCATTCTAATATCATCCTTAAAGGACATTACCTAATGGGCTCCTACAAATTAAGGGCATAGGGAAGGACTAAGAGTGGCTACAGGCCTAACCTCTGTAATATTTGTGGGAAGGGACTACATTTTTCAATTCAAACCCATATTTTCATACATGGGAACTCAAGCATTTACCACTACACCAATCAATACCCCCTCTTTGATGAAACTTCTATGTTTATCTAAAGGGGTTTTCAGCTCTCCTAAAAGACCCTAGCACAAATTACATCCAACCACTGCATCTAAATTTTCTACTAATGAACCTATGCATTTACTTGCTGTCATGCAACTTGATCATAAGATTTACACTCTTAGTCATAGACTCATGGGCCTCCTAACAATAGATGTAAAGATTTGTCATTTATGTACTTACCATAATGAGTTACTCAAGCAGATGCTCAAGTTGGGGTGGAACCATGAATAGCTTTGATTTGACACTAGTTGAAATAGAACAATTTTAAGGTATATGAGTAGTCAGAAAGTAAAAGGCCATCTCCCATATTTTATGCACCATTATCATTAAATGCATATTTTTAGACAGAAGTTTGATCAATTTCTTTAATAATTTGATCTGTTTGGGAGGAGCATGTTTCTAGGCTCATTATATTGATAGATGGTAGAGCTAGGTCTGTAGTTTCGGATTCAATGTCAGTGTTTAGGTGAAGCAGCGCAAAAATTATAGAAGGGTCAGAGAGCGTAGCCATGGTGTAGAGAAAGGTAGAAATAGAACTTTGATGAGGGGTGGCTTGTGTTTGAGGTGGGACAGACTCAACCGATACTATTCCCCTTTATTACAACAATATCTTAACTTAAATAAACTAAGGAACTACACAAAGTAGGTAACCCAAAAAGTAAAGAAGAGCAAAATAAGTAAACTATTTCTAACACCAGTTGTTACAAATCTCCATGTAGATGCCACAAATGCTCAACTAGGTCTGCTTGGAGTTGAGAATGAGTTTGTCTATCTCTTATTCTATCAAGCCTATATATTATAAAACTAATATACACTCCATGTTACTTTTATAACATTCTATCAAAAAATCGGAAAACCTGACAACAAAAATGAATTCCGGCATTTTTTCCTTGCTAATGGGAATTACCTCACTAATTGAATGACAATAGTGGATATATATATAAGAATATGAATCAACAAAATCACCTACATCTTCAAAAATGTAATATAACCATGCCATATTTAAGTATGCACAAGTGTGCAGACATAACATCTTATAATGCTAATTTTCACTATAAATATTTCAATGTGTAAAAATCAGAATTCTATTAAAAACATAAACTGATGGGACTCGATACTACACAGCAACATATGGGGCATCTCAATTAAGCATAATTCTAGTCTACAACCACATATAAGAGACGAAATCATGATCACTCACAATAATGGGAGTCAATACCAATGAAGCTACATATGCAGACATCTTTCTTGCACTCTTAACCATAATGTTTCAGTGTCAGTCACCGAATACAATAAAAAATATAATGGCGTCACATACTCAAACATGGATTCAGTTAAGAAATTGAGAGAGAGAAGCAGGGGCATTAAGATACAAAGCAAAAAGGGAAAAAACCTGTAGGGGCAGACTGAAGCACCGATCGTCTCGCGCGACAGCAACAAACGACACAAACCCTACGATCAAGAGTGAAATCATAAGGGAGAGATAACTACGAATTTTGAGATAAGGGTGTGCAAGAGTGAAATCGTGGAGATTGATGAGGGGAGATTTGATGAGGGAGAAAAAAAAGGAGGGAATTTTAAGAGGGAATTTGCCAATGTAGATAATCAGATCACCCCCACCCAAAAAACAAAAAAGTTAATAATAATAGTAATAATAATAATTTCAAAACAATTTTTAGATTTGTTTTTTTGAAAAAAATTAAAAATAATTTGAGAGCAATAAAAATCAAAATTATATTTTTAAAATTTTAAAAAGTATTTATGACGTAAAAGATAAAAATATACAAAAATAATAAGTTTTTTTTTTCCACCCAATCTTTTTTAGCTTTTTAGGAAAAAAAAATTGAAACTAGTTTCTAGAAATAAAACCAAACATATTGAAATAGATAATATAACCATATTCTTTGAAAAAGTTTAAATTATCTCAAATTAGTCATTTCAACATAAGAGTGTGTTTGGGCTTAATAGATTAATTTTGTGATCTAATTCAATAATCATTTTAATTTTACAATTTAGTAATTAGAATATTTAAAACTCTTTGAAAAATTGTAATAAAAAATACAAATCACTAAATCACATCATTCCACTAGCAAAAATTTTACCGACGAATAGCGTTATCGTCGCTAAATGGTTAACTGTTTGCCCACGCCAACTTGTCATCGCCAAAAGTATGCACACTAATAGCAACGCTCATTGTGTTGCTAAAACATAAGCCTCGTTGCTAAAAGTTCTAAAATTTTGGCGCCAACCAAAAATTTTGGTGCTAAAAGAATGTTATGCTTTTTTAGCGATGATAGCAAATTGCGTCGGTAAAGGTATATTTTTACCAATGAAATTGATCACAATGTCGCCAAAAATATACTTTTGGCGATGAAAAATTGACATCGTCGCCAAAAGTAGTTGCCAAAAGTGCAATTTCTTGTAGTGTGTGATAGATACACTAAGTGAACATGTGCGATAGATACACTAAGTAAACAAAGTGTGATAGATACACTAAGTGAACATGTGCGATAGATACACAAAATGAACAAAGTGTGATAGATACACTAAGTGAACAAAGTGTGATAGATACACTAAAGGAACAAAGTGTGATAGATACACTAAGCGAACATGTGTGATAGATACACAAAATGAGCAAAGTGTGATAGATACACTAAATAAACAAAGTGTGATAGATACACTAAAGGAACAAAGTGTGATAGATACACTAAGTGAACATGTGTGATAGATACACAAAATGAACAAAGTGTGATAGATACACTAAATGAACAAAGTGTGATAGACACACTAAGTGAACATGTGCGATAGATACACAAAACATAATCAATTTTAAACCGAACTTCTCTGAATGAACTGCACATCCAATATCGCCTGGTTGCGCCCACTTCAAATGAACCGTACATACAATATCGTGCATGAATGAGAAAGAAACTTGATAGGTACAATGCAATACAATGCATGATGTTTAAGGAATGCAATAAAGAAACAAAGCGGCGCTTTAGAAAGCACCTCATGGGGTGAGTGGTGTAGATGCCCCCGAATGTCCCGGGACTGACGGGGATCTCCCATTTTGTTCTTCAAACTCTTACCTTGCGTTCTTCGAACTCTTTCCTTCAACTCACAGTATAAAGGTTCTGATATACTGACAAGGATTCTTCACGTAGAACACTTTGGATGACGCCTTTCTTCCTAATCATATTCACAACTTTCCCTATTCTCCAACGGGGTGACAGACTAGCTTGGTTCAGTATCCAGAATTGAGGTGCATACATGCTATCTCAACCTATGGGGCTTCCACACAGATTTCAAGCCGGGGTTACACCCCTGGGTATTTAAACCAGACTTTAGTCTCGAAAATCCCGAACCTTTACATTCTAGGCATCAGCCATTCGAACTCTAGTTTCCACCGTCGCAGTTAGTCTCCTAGGAACTCATTACGAACACAGCCAAGATGCCTCTGGCAGGGAATGGTACTCAAGGAGAGCACTTCTAATCGCCATTCTGGCATTGAAACAGGCTTGAACTTGAGCTTGAGGTAGAGGCACACTCATACTTTGGAGCATTGATAAGGCCTGAAGAGGTACATCCGGAATGCAATCTCGGAACCTTCTGAAGTTGAAACAAACTCAGATGCTTCAATTTTCCCTCTTTTCTTTTGCTTTACAGTCCGAAATCTATATAGCTTCAGGTAGGTCCTTGTTCTACTGTTTTCACATGACCTGGGTCGAACCCTGCAGTTTTATGAAAGATCAAATCTTGTTTTGCACATATGTGGAGAACGGCACAGCACTCTGAGCACAAAACGATTCATTTTTGAAATTGAAATTGAGAATGAGTCTTTAATCGGGTATTGAGTCTACGACTGACCACAGAAAAAATGACTCAACAACGAAAAACAAAGGTAAAACAACCTAAACACATCTATTGACATTGGAAATGACTTAAAACAAGAATCGAGACAAACAAAAACCGAACAAAACACAAGACTTAAATGTGTTACGGGGGTGAGAGACCTCTCGGTTTGCAAGGAACCAGTTTCTTCGGGTATTGTTTCCCACTCTTTCTCATTTGTGATCCTCACATCCCTATGGCATTCGATCTCTATTTTTCTGAAAAAGCCCTTTCCTCACTTTTTCTCTCAGCACACATCTCTCTATTCTTTAATCTCTCTTCTTTTTTATCCCTCCCCTGGGTGGTTGATGGATAACTAAGAAGTTGTGGGCTCTTGCCCCTAGCATTCTGCTAGATTCTCATTCTTCCATTCATAACAGTGAGCTTCTCCCATAGAGGGCTTGCGCTACAACTGGGCGTGCAGCAGATCCGCAACTGACATTGGTTGACGACGCCCTTGGCCAGTTTGGATGTGATCAGACCTGTCTAGATGAGGGAATGGAATACCCTGCTCTATTTTCAATTCATGCTTCGC